TGCCACAAATTCTCCTAAATCACTCGTACGCACAATTTAAGAACAAATCTGTGCGTACGAACAGTTCTTGCATGAGGCCCAATGTGTTGTTACACCCCAGTTTGCAACTATTTGTGACCTTGAAAATGCACATATACATACCACCATGTCTGTTTCAGATTTAAAGAAAAAATGAGAATATTTCACATGATTTACTCATTTTGAGAAATTCCTGTTTTTCTTTTTTGTGTCTGCCTCCAATTATGAAATATGTTTTTGCAGCCCTTTCAAAAAAACATTTTTGAATGCCTTAACTTGTTTGCTGATTGAGTTTACTCTTGAAAGCATTTGATATTTAAAAATAACTGCAACTGCATAATTGTAAGAAAAGATGAGATTTTGGAAAATTGGCTTCATTTGACCAAGTGATGAGTCCTAACATTGCTCTCTGAACTGCTTCCATAGGTTCCCATTTTTACTGTGTCTTCATGTTTTCCAGATGCAGAGAAAAAAGAGGTGAATGAGTCCATGGTGACTCTGATCCGAGACAAAAGCAAACACAGGAGGAAACATTTGGCACGTTTGCAGAGGCACCTAGCCCCTCCTGTGCTCCACCTGTGGGAGAAAGAAGAGGACGAAGCAGACAAGCAGAGCAAATATGACACGTCCACGACGGGGCAGCTGTCACTGGGTACAAGCCTGAGCACCAGCACCCTAACTGATGGTGGGCTTCAGCCACTGTGCAGTGATGTAGACACAGCAGCAAGCATATCTGTGGCTGTTTCTCCTGAGCAGCATCTCAGAGCCACAACCAGGTTCATAAATATACCTTTATTATGAAGCCTTATAAATATACGCTGGGGTTTTATTCTGTGATTTGTTTTGATTTTCAGGAGCAGAGGAGCAAAAAAAGAAGGAAAAGACGCTAAGAAGTTTGAAAAACTCTTTAAAGAGAAGTGTGACAAAACTGAAGACGGGGAGAAAGGTCAGCCTTCCCTGCCAGCGATTGGCTCATGGGAGTTTGAGCTGGAGGATGACGAGTATCTGAATTTCCTGGAGCTCTTCCTCAGCTATTTGCTGGAGAAGAATAACACGGATGGAGAGGATTTTGGCAGCGAGCTGCCTTTGCTGAGGAGCTTCTGCTCCGAGCTGAGGGAGAGAGAGCTGCATTCTTTGAAATTCGATGTACTTTCTACAATTCATCGTCGTCAAAACGGAGAGCGTCGCCCAGCGAGGAAACACCCGAGCAATGCGCCACCGGTGTTCAGAGCTGGCAGTTGTTTTAAACCTGTGAAACAGGGTGAAAAACCTGAGCTGCAAACTTCTTCTGTTTGGAATGAAGCCACCACATCCAGGGCCAGCCTTTCTGTCAGCTCTCATCCTGGACAGAGAACTGGGAAACAGAAAGGCTTGTTTGGCCGACAGCGAAGAGACTCATCTCCAGCAAGAGTTAAAGAAGCAGTTCCTGGTTGTGAAACCAACGCTTTTAGCACAGGGCAGCCCTCTCAGAGCTTTGTCTTCAGCTCCTCTGTGTCTCTTGAAGCTGTGACTGACTTACAGCAGGGCCTGGACCCTAAATTAGAGGCTCAGTTTCCAGAGCTGGGCAGGCTGCTGGAGTGGATGGTGAGATGGGCCGATAGAAGAGCGCTGTTGGGACATCGTGGTAAAAAGAAGAATGCTAAAGAGGGAGAAGCTGATGAAGGAGTTGTGATTCGTGTCAAAGCTTCATCATCTGCCATCCTCACTGCGCTCAGTTTGCTGGAATGCAAGCACACCGTTTTACCCCAGACTGAACGCTTCAGTTCTCACATCCCAGTTCAAGAAATGCAATTCATTGTTGCCCCTGTGCTGCAGCCTGAGGTGGATCAGAGGCTGGAGAGGGATAGTAGCGTGGACACAGGCTACCCTGGATCAGTTAACACTCCCATCACTGGTCTCGATCATAATCTGCAGCATGGAGAACTGTGAGCACCCCACTTTAAACAGCTGTGATTTATTAGGAAGCGTTAATGAAGATATTTGTTCATTCAAGTTGTGTTTTGTCAAATAGTCAAACGAAGGACTGATATATTTTAAAATTATTAGATTACATTTAAAACAAAGTGGAACTTGACACCAAAGTGTTGATTGGTATGCCTCTGCCTGCCCTAGATATGTCTGCCTTTGACGCACAACTTTGTACAGATGTTAGCGTGAGCATATATGCACAAACCATTGCACTGGAGATTTTGTCACTGGAAACACAGATGAAGTTTGTGACCTCAGAATTTGTTCTCCAAGGCATCGTTAGTGATGTAGTCAAGACCACCTAACCCGAGACCAAGTCAAGACCAAGACCACAGTGTCTCGAGACCGAGAGAAGACCAAGACTTTTAGGGTTTGGACCAAGTCGAGACCAAGACCAAYGGAGGGRGAGACCYAGACAAGACCAAGACTTTTAGGGTTTGGACCAAGTCGAGACCAAGACTAAGGGAGGGCGAGACCAAGACCAGAAAAAAAAAGTTCTAAAAGACCACCCTCAGTCTATATTAGTATATTAT